GTTGTGGTCCTCGCATACGTATGATCGAGCTGATCAAAACCATTGTATAATACACGCTGATGGATTGGCTGAAGGACAATTTGCCATGACAAGACTAGCGCTCTGTGTGTGTGTGTGTGTGTGTGTGTGTGTGTGTGTGTGTGTGTGTGTGTGAAGGCTCAAGTGTTTACACGCTGTTGTAAGAGAAACACCTACATGCGATATCATTAACAAAAACAGATTTAATGATGCTCCGCTTGAGATTATATCAGACCTGGTCATTAACAATGGGAAGTATGATATTATCCAAAACATTTTACCACAGTATTTGTAACATCGTTTTACGCACCAAAATGTTTTATCATAGTGTAATAAAATTAAGGAGATGTGCGTTTAGTTTAAGCAATTTGTAGGCTTGTGTGATTACATGTTCGATTATTGGAATTTAGTTTAAGCAATTTATAGGCTTGTGTGATTACATGTTTGATTATTGGAATTTGTTGAAATGGGAAATATTCTCTAGCATGAAATAATCAGTCATTTATTAGGAGCAAACGTCACGGAGAGAAAGTGTTAGTGAGTTTCTAAGATGCCATGGTCAATAAATAGCGAACTCAGACCCAATCCGCATGACTGTCCCTGTCGTGATATAGCACTTTATAAAAACTAATAGTATACATCGGTGTTGTGACTGCGGCAGCAGTATTTTATGGTAGTAAACCGGTAAATTACACAATGGAATAAATGAGAAAGTACTCGGTAATACCGTTTACGTTGCCATAACGGCAAATGTGAGTAGGTATACTAGTGTGATGTGCCTTGAAACAGTAGTCCGACTGGCCTCATGTAGGCAGTTAAAATAGTTCTCCGTACAGTTTCTACGGTGTGAATTACAAGCAGAACAGAAAGGTTGATTGATTGATTGATTACTATTTTACGGCGCATCAGCACTGTGAGGCTATATAGCGCCAAACATAATTTTATATCCTTTTACATTTAAAACTGGTAAAAAATTTTTTATCGACCAGCGATTGGGGTCCAAACAGTTAAGGTAAAGCGATAAAAATGTGAACGATGGTAAAGTATTAAAAGTTTCCCGATCAACGGGGTGTGCAAAAGTATGATAACGAAAACATATGATTGGCAATTAAAATCTATCGACTGCATAAATATAACACAAAACTGAACAAGGTGATAAAATAAAAGCTATAACTTATGATAAATGTTTGCTTCCTTAAGGAAGTCTATAATATTAATAATGTTAACTGTATCAAAGAGCTCCGTCATGTCTCGCACAACGTAGTAATGATTCGCGTAGGTTGAAGATCGAAGCATTCCAGCATAAAGTGCTTAACGGTGAATGGTTCATTACAAGCTATGCACTCTGGTGGGTCTTCTCCTTTTAATATGTAGGAGTGTGTTAAATAAGTATGACCGAGTCGAATTCTTGCAAAGACTACCTCTTCTCTACGGACGGATCTGTAGGACGGGGTCCATTCTCCTAAGGTTGGCTTGATGGCATGAAGTTAGTTATTCATGTCTGACGTAAACAGTCTTTGATACAACGTTTAAAATCAGTATATGGTGCTTTAAAATCAGTTGGTTCTAGTAATAGGGCCATTTTAGCAGCACGGTCTGCTTTATCATTACCTTTAATTCCTTCATGGCTGGGTAACCAACAGTATACTATATTGTGGGAGGTATTCAGCTCAGTATGCTTAAGGAGAATGTTTGCTAATAATGGATTCTTCAGTTTTCTGTTATGTAGTGACTGAAGTACTGATAGTGAGTCGGAGAATATTATGCTATTTGAAATACGCTTGCTTGCAATGTATTGCAAAGCAAGGTTTATTTCTCTAATTTCGGCTGAAAAAATTGACGTACCATTTGGCAAGCGAACTTTGGTTGTGTGGTTTCCACTTACGAAGGCTGCAGCAGCCTTTAGTTCATCTTTTGATCCATCAGTATATATTTTTGTATACTTTTCAAATTGTGAGAGGAGTTCATGGTAAGAGTTGTGGAAAATGGATGGGTTTGTCTCCGAACGGAAAGGTAATATAGAGAAACTGTGGGGATGTGCGTGTGATGGCTAAATTACAAGTTGGGAATAATGTGGTCTTGTACTAATTATTGTAAAATTTATGTACAGAATGGACACGTCTGGCTTTCCGACTTACAACTGAACTTGCATAGAAGTCTTTGGAAATATGGGGTAAACTTATGACTTCTAGCGGGATTCGAGCCCAGGGTTTTGACACCGCTCGGTCAAGCAAAAGACCCCTGGCTTGTAACAATAGTATCAGTAATATTGTATTAGTGCATCAACAACTACTTTTAGAATTTCAACTAAAATATGATTAAAATCAATTATCTGCGTTTTCATTATACTGCATTTGCTTACAATTTTTTAAAACTTTAGTACCAACAATTGAATCAGAAATTCACGAAACTTAATGTCAGTTATAAAATCTCTGTACTTGTCATAAACATCTTTTAAATATCCTTATATCGATCATCTGTCAATACCGCATTTCTTTTATCCAACTATAGGAATCAAACGTAATTCCTACTTCACGTTCATAAAAATATATTTCATTTACCAAATTACCGTATTATTTTTCTGTTACATCAGTAAACCCAAGTGCCAATCTTATTTGATTCAAAGCAAAATTTTTGAGGACAAGATATTGTCTGATAATTACATATGCGACTACGAAATGTATCAGCTTTAATTTTTGGAGTGATTTTCGTCCAAGAAAGGTAATACCAATAGAAGCATATACTTTAAGCCATACTATTTCATATTGTTTTGTAAATATTTTATCCACTTCATTGTAATAATTTCGTAATGACAATTATCTGGAGCATTGAAGTGATGGTAGTGGAATATCATATAATGCACTAATGTAATAATATATTGTTTATTAAATTTAAAAAAAGAAATTACTCTTCTAATCAACTACAGCCGGCGGGACATCCTCCTGTGATTATTATTGTATTCTATTTATCTGACATATGTCCCAGAGTGGAAACTCCGGAGAACGTGATTTTTAAAGTTTATTTGGCAATTTGACACTCATCCGCGCAAAAGTAACGATAATACAGCAATACATTTAAATGTTGCAAATATAACATGCTACTTAAAGTGTACAACTAAAAAAAAAAACTAACAAAGACAAAATTTTTTAGAAAGAACAAAACACAACAGAACGATGCTAAAAGGAATTTGCACTGTTTGCATTAAAAGAAAAAAATGTGTTTGTTTCTTCGCAGAAGTCGTCAACAACAGACTCTGTGACGTCGGGTTTGGGTGTAGATAGAGTTATTTTAGACCTGTCAAAACCTAGAGGGGGTTAATGTGAATTTAGTCTCAACAAATTAAAAACAAAAAATATTGCATAAACATAAAAACTTTGATAACAAATGTTTCCAGTGGGCTATTCCTTTTGCGATGTTTCCAACAAAAACAAAATGATGATCGTGTTGACAAGTATTTTAGTCCCGTATCAAAATTTAATTTTTAAAGGCATTAACGTTTCTGTTGCAGAAAATCAAATAACAAAGTTTCAAAAGCAAAATAATATTTCAGTTAATAAATTTGGTCTTGACGAGAGTGAAAATGTTTATCCAAGGTATATTTCTGATAAATCTTGGCAGTCGGCAAAAAAACTTGCTGTTTTGTAGGTATCATTACCTTTGGATACAAAAATTAACGGTGTAGTTGGAAAACAATAAAATAAAGATAAAAATAAGAAATAGTTCTGCTACCGTTGTTTAAAAGGTTTTTCCAAAGATGAAAAACTGCAAAAGCATCTCAAATACTCTGTCAATGTTAAAAAAAAACAATGACAGGAGAAAAAGTATTAATATTTACAATTATAATTACAATTATAAATTAAATGTTTCGTTTGTTATTTACGATGATTTCGAGTGTCTACTTTCTCTGTGGCACGAACAGAAAATGATCCAAATAAATCAAGCACTAGAAAAATACAACAACGTGTTCCATGTGTAGCTATTTACAAATTAGTTTGTTGCACTAACGAAAATTTTTCAACTATAACATTTTACAGAAGTAATAGTCCTGACGTGTGCTAAAGTAATTATTTTAATAGAGGATGTTAATAAAAATTTTCAACAGAGTATCTAAATCGGCTACGATAAAAATAACATCCAAACAACTTGATTCTGGTGAGGTAGTTAATTGTCATATCTGCAAGAAGCCTCTGCCTTACGGTGATAAAGTGCAGTTTCACTATCATCTAACCGGTCAATATCGCGGAGCAGCACATAATAATTGTAATTTAAAAGTTCATGTGCCAGATTTTGTTCCTGTCGTTCTACACAATTTTCGTGGTTATGATAATCATATCATTGTTGAATCATATGGCGATGAGGAAATTAAATCTAAACTAAAATTAAATAATATAATAAAATGTATTCCAAACAATTTTGAAAAGTAGATGTCAGTTACGCTCAGAAAGTTCTCGACAGTCTGCAATTTATGGCATCATCATTGGCTGAGCTTGCAAAAGGTTGTAGCAGTTTCAATAACTTAAGAAGTTGCTTTGGTGGAGACTGCGTCACTTTGAAATAAAAAAGGTGTTTTTCAGTAGGAGTACCTCGACGATTATATCAGATCTGATGAAACCTCTCGTCCTAATAAATATACATTTTACTCTCAGTTAAAAAGTGAAAATATTACAAATGAAGATTACAAATATGCACAGGAAATTTGAATTAAATTTGGTTGTAAGATATTTGGTGATTATCATGATTTGTATTTGAAAACAGACGTGTTATTACTAGCAAATGTTTTTGACAGTTTTCATAGTCATGTATATTATGGATCAGACCCATGGGGTTTTATTCTGTGCCAGGATAGTCATGGGACGCTCGGCTAAACACAAGCAAATTAGAACTGGATCTCTTAACTGATCTTAATATGTTTAACTTTATTGAAAAAGTCATATTATCCTGACACCATGCCGACCAGTCCTAACACTAACCTCTTAATACTGAGCGTCAAGCGAGGCAGCTGTTAGTACCATTTCTGTAAGTCTTTAGTCAAACCCACGACCTCCCGCATCCGAGGCGGACGCTCTAACCACTAGGCCACCGGAGCGGTTGAAGTTAATCTTGATTATCCTAGTTCATTTTATGATCTACATAACGACTATCTGTTTTGTGCAGTCAATGATGATCAATAATAGTTTGTTATCGCGTGAACAACAGGCAATTACAACAGCTAAAAATTCGATTATTAATAAGCTAGTTTGAAATGTGTTAAATAAAAAAAAAACACGTGACAAATTACAAAAATTTATAATGATCAGTATTGTTAAAATAACTGCAACAAAGACCGTAGAATTTGTTTTAAATCCACACTACAGTCTATTTAGTAATAATGATATCTAGATATAGATTGCATTTTATTCAGGATCATAATTTCTAAACGCGTGTGAATTTATCTTAGATCCAAACTACAGTCTGCTCAATAATAAATTTGTGAAATGTGCGTATGATTTAATTTAGATTCACACACTATAGTATATATTTTTTAAAAAAAAAATGTGTGTGATTTATTTAGATTCACATGCAGTTTATACAGCATTAGGTAACTTTATATTAATTTAGGAAACTTTATAGTGATAGAATCGGACGGTGGGTACAGTGTTATAACATTCGGTTATCATACTTAGGATTGGGGTTCAATTTCCGAGACCGACACATTGTCGACGGCGGGTATTCTGACAGCTTTGTATATAGCGGGTGGGTGTTTGGGGTTCCAAAACCCCCAAAGGATTTGATGTACATCTCCTCATTACTTCAAACAACATGGTGAGTGCGTTTTGCATTCTTTTCGAGGTTTGATATGAAGGTGGTGTATATGAAATAAAAAAGCCTAGACAGCCCCCCTGAATGTCTAAAATTTTGTTTCGTTTAGCGATTCAATGAAGAGGTGTCTATGCTAGAGCCCCTTAAACTAAATAGTACCTATGTAATCTTTCAACCTCACTTGCAGGGTACCCCACATGGATGTTGAGAAAGAATGTCAGCCAAAAAAGAAGTGTCCTGTTGGGTATCCCATAACAGCCATAAGATAAGAATATGTGACACCGTGAAAGGCAAAAAAAAAAAAAAGGAGAAGGAAATGAAGGGGCCTCTATGGAATGGAAACCGCTTATCACACTCTGTTGTTATTATTATTATTATTATTATTATTATTATTATTATTATTATTATTATTATTATTATTATTATTATTATTATTATTATTATTATTATTATTTCGGTTGGAGCAAGACCAATAGCACCACAGCTAAGCTGGTTACCTTTAAATTTTAACCCTTCACTTTTGACCTTCTCTTCACCAGATCAAGGTTAAAGTGCAGGGGCCTAGGTCAAATTATCGGTCTCCTCACAAATGAAATATCATAATGTATTTTAAATTATTTTTAAAACAAAATTCTACATATTCTGACTTTAGTTCTCTTTCTACAATTTTCTTAAGTTTAAATAAATATTTTTAAAGTCTTTGCTTGTTTGTCTCAAAGATGTATTTGGTCTATGTATGATTTTAATTACGTTTCTCGATCGAATAAATCTTTTCTATGTATCTTTATTACTTTTTATCCTAACTTGATATACAAGTTTAAATATTGATATTGGATATTATATCTCTTTGTTTTCTTAACGCGCACATTAATTTAGCTACCGAAGTTTGCACCTTTTTATTTTCAATTATATTCCTCTGTAATGGTGACGCATCAGACAGTGTTGTAGATGAAGTATAATCTTTAAAACAGAGAGTATTATTTAATCTAATTTCAGAACTCGTCGAAAACGACTCAATATCTTTATCAGTCTTTGTTCAGCTTATAACACATTAATCCAAGTTGTAGACAATATATTATTTCGTCAGAAATTGGTTAGGTTCTCTTTATTTGTTCCTACTAGTCCTTGGATTTAGCAGACATGCAATATAATGCTAATTCCAATTTCTGATTCAGCGAAAAATGACAGAAAACGTTAATATCCATAGTTTGACACCAGTTTTTTTTTAAATTAAGATTATGAGATATCCAGATGCTCTGAAATTGTGTGCAGGATCCAATTTATTTGAACATACATGTTTAAACTCGTCAAATATATCACACATTAAATAGTCTTCCTTCACAGAATAGCTATGAAGATTTCCTAAAGTGTCTAAATTAACATGTTTCATGACATACTTCATGCATTGATAGTCATCCTCACTAATTCCAGTTCCCGAAAATTCGAATAAAATTTTACAATCTTTGGCAGTTTTGTTCCTTAAAATGTATAATAAGAAACCACATGTTCATATTGATAAATGTCTTACTTGAACATATTGACTGCATTGCTTTTGTTTCTATGGATTGTATCGTCCTTTTGCGGGTTGGTACAAAGATTAACCCATTAATGTATGTTGGTATGTTACGAATATATTCTAGAAAATATCAGTAATCTTTTTGCTGAAAACCGTTTTTACATCTTTGAATGGGTTTTGTCTGTAACTGACGACACATCGACCCACCCCTTTTATTCTCCTTGCTATACTATACTGACAACTATTTCCGGTATTTTTTAGTTGTCAAATAGTTGTGTTGTACAATCATCAGCTCACAGAATTTAAAGGGAAAATGTAAGGTATAAAAATCCTGATATGTAATCGTAAGGACGTATGGTGAGACACGTTAGCCATATTAAATGACATTTTCTATCCTCATTCAATCTATTATTTGTTTATTTTTCATATATGAATAATTAAAATTTTCATTTTTTTTATAAATTCAAACACCGACAGTGGCGGTAATCCGATTACGAAAATTGAATGTTATATGGATTTTGTATGAATCATTGGTGAAGAAAACCTGGTTTAACGCCTAAAATATACTCATATATATATATATATATATATATATATATATATATATATATATATATATATATATATATATATATATATATATATATATATATATATATATATATATATATATATATATTGTAATTAATATCAATCTTAGAAATCGTAAAGTTTGTAAATAAAACAATATACACACAATTTGAGGAATGTCGACTCGAATTAAAACGTGTACATTGCAATCATTGTATATCTAACGAAATGTTCTATCGCGTCATCATATGAAAATAATTGGAGTCAGTTTAGTTCTTTTTGTGAGACCTGGTCGGCATACTGCAGCCGTATGGTAATTTCATTTAGGTCAGTATATAGATTATCTTATTATTTATGATACTGAAAATTGGTATAACAAGTTAGAATGATAACAAATTTGAAGGCCGGAATTCCCATTTTAGAAAACGGATGTGGACTATCTCGAGGAAGTACTTAAAGCTATTGGTAGTGATCATCCGGATCGATTAAGGCTTGTTTCATTTATAGAATGTGTGTACTGTCTTGACCTTGTAAAAATTTGCATACTAGTATGTATGGCGATTCATTTTATTTATTCCATTGAAAAGTTAGCCTAGCAAGCAGAGGAGAAATCAGAACTTCGTGTGTGTGTGTCTGTGTGCGAGATAGAGAGAGAGAGAGAGAGAGAGAGAGAGAGAGAGAGAGAGAGAGAGAGAGAGAGAGAGAGAGAGAGAGAGAGAGAGAGAGAGAGAGAGAGAGAGTGCTAATATTGCGAATGACCTCTATTATGATATTTTTGTTTTTTTCAAAAAACAAACATAATGTGAAGAATGTTGTTACCGGTAGTTATATGAGGTACAATAGCGCAAATTAGGGCACTTGGGCAACAATTGGTATTCTTATGAGAAATTTCTGCAATGGGAACAGATAGGTTTATATAGTCAAAAGGGTTTACAGTCAAAAGGGTTTATAATAGTAAAAAGATTTTATATAGTCAAAAGGGTTTATAGTCAAAAGATTGTATATAGTCAAAAGGGTTTACAGAGTCAAAAGGGTTTATAGTCAAAAGATTTTATATAGTCAAAAGGGTTTACAGAGTCAAAAGGGTTTATAGTCAAAAGATTTTATATAGTCAAAAGGGTTTACAGAGTCAAAAGGGTTTATAGAGTCAAAAAGGGTTAATAGAGTAAAAAGGTTTATAGAGTTAAAAGGGTTTATAGAGTAAAAAGGGTTAATAGAGTCAAAAAGGTTTATAGAGTTAAAAGGGGTTATAGAGTCAAAAGGGTTTATAGGAACATAAGAGTTTATAATGACGCCATACAGAGACAAAATACATATGGCAATAATTGAGTAATAGCTCTTTGTTAGAGGTCGGAATGATCCTGAAAAAGGGCTGTTTGGTTTCCTGAACTTTTGTTTGGCCATCATTTTCCATTAATTCTTCTTTTTCCTAACTATATTTTCTTCCTCAAAGGGAATCCAGTCTAGATGACCCATCTTCCTTATTTTCTCCAGAACAATGATCCAAGAAGCATTCAGGAAGTGTAAGTGTTTTATTTCTTCTCCTTCTCCTTTGCACGTCTTTCCTTGGCCCAGGTTGCCTTTTTCATCTCAGCTTTATCTTATGTGACTTCCTTGATCATACATTTAGCTCTTTGAAGTGGAGCCACTTCCCTACGAACATGGCTTAGGGCATACCTCTGAGTCTTTACGTGTTCTTGCAGCCACCGTGACATCAACTTTCACATCACTTTGCAAGGTTGAAGTGTGGTCATTATTTTCTGATTGACATCTTTAAATGCATGAAGGAAAATACCCCTCACATAAAAGACCAAAATATGGAAAAGAAATATAGCGTTGTATCCACTACCAGTTCTACCAGTGTGCAGAGGACTATTCGGGCTTGCCATTTTCAAGAGCATGGTGGCAGTTTTCGTCTATTCAAGGTCTGGATCTTTCATTTGACCGAAGAGGTGCTTTACATATTGTATGTAGACTAGAGATTCACAGTCGTGTTCTTCATCATTTTTCTTGGTTGACTAGTCGAAAATAGTAACACAAGAGACAAACTCACCATATCCATTACACAAAGTACAATGCACACCATATAAAAGAAATACACATTGAGAGGAAATATCGTGCAGACCTAAAATAAGCTATCTATCTCTACCTTTTACCTACAAAGAAACTATGACCTCACAAACAGGCACACATTTTTATTT